CTTCTGTGCACATGTTCACGTGTCAGTGGCTGCATGTGTGTCTGTATGTCTGCACACGTTGGCGTCCAAGCATGGACTCCCATGTGTGTCAGTGCCTGTGCATGTGTCTGCACGTGTCAGCGTCTCTGCGTGTATTTCTGTGCATGTCACTGTCTATGCATGCAGTTGCACACGTCAGTGTCCATGCATGTGTCTGCATGCACGTTGCTGTCTGTCCGTGCATTTCCATGTGTGTCAGCGTCCGTGCACGTGCTTGCACATGTATCAGCGTCTATACATGCAGCGGGCACGTATGTCAGTGTCAATGCATGCATTTGCATGTGTGTCAATGCCTGTGCGTGTCAATGCCTGTGCACGTCTCTGCACGTGTTGGTGTGCATACATGCATTTCCACGCGTGTTGGTTTTCTACGCGTGCATTTGCACACGTGTCAGTGCACGTGCATGCATTTGCATGTGTGTCAGGGGTCTGTGCATGTATTTGCACGCGTGTCAGCGCCCATACATGCTCTTGCACACACGTCTGCGGCACACGTGCTATACATGCAGCGGGCGGGGCTGGTTGCCCTGAGGTTGTTCGCGTTGGGGCTGTATTTGCACCCCCACCCTCGCACGACATGGTCACGGCTGCTCGTGCAGCCCTTCGCACACGCGTGTGTAACACGCCCCGGTGAGCGTGTCGGGGTGCGCTGGCCGTGCCAAGGCCATGGGTTAATCATCACCAATCCCTTCCCCGGGGTAAAGGTCCTATTTTTTCTTTTTTTTTGGCATCACATTTTTGGGAGAAGGAGATAGAGAGGAAAAAAAATCAGGGCAGGAGGGGGCTGGACCCGCTGGGAATCCTGGGGGTGCCCATTTGGGGAGGGGTCAGGGTGCCCCTTGGGGTGCTGGGGGTACCCGTTGGATCGGGGCACCCTTGGGGGATGCTCCAGGTGCCTCTCTGGGGTGATCGGGGAGCCCTTTTGGGGTGCTTTGAGTGCCCACTTGGGATCTTTGGGGTGCCTGTTTGGGATCCCCATGGGGGGGCCTGTCTGGTCAGGAGACCCCTTTGGGGTGCTCAGGGTGCCCCTCGGGGATGTACGGGGTGCCTGGGTGATCAGGGAGCCCTTTTGGGGTGCTTTGAGAGCCCAGCTGGGATCCTGTATGGGATACTCTGGGTGCCAGCCCTGTCTGGGACCCCTGGGGCTCCCGTCCAGGATGCCTAGGGTGCCCACCCGATTGAGGTCCCCGTTTGGGGTGCACCTGGTGCCCACCTGGGGTCCTTTGGGTGCCGATTTGGGATTACTGCGTTCCCTACCCGATCAAGGGGTTCGTTGGGTGCCCATCTGGGATCTTTGGGGCACCCATCCATAGGGTGCCCACTTGGGGGGGGTACCTCAGGTGCCCATCCCTGACCCATTGGGTTTCCCTCTTGGATGCTCATCCACCTGGGGACCCCCACTGGGGCCATGTCCCCCTCTCCCCCCCAGACCTCCACGCTGCCGTGGAGGAGGTGCTGCCGGCCCTGCAGCGTGACGGCATCCGCATCTTCTACCTGAGCTCCACATCGCCCACACCGGGCCTCGAGGCTCTGCTGCCCGCCATCGAGGCAGCCCCCGGGCAGACCCCACC